GTCAGACTGCTAGAAAAATGAAATAGTAGTTTATAATAGTATAGCTTATAATAGTTTACATGAGCTACTGATGCTCTACATTTTAATAAGACTTCCAATAAGACATATTTGGTTTTATGGATTTTATACTTTAGTCCAAGTGATTGCCATATTCATTGTTTAGGAATTTCTCCCATCATTGAGCGATGATATGACCAGAAAAGCAGTTCTCATGTGAACACTTCAAAACATTTTTTAAAATATTGGCACTTAACTATGCATTTTTTTCAAAATACAGTCATTTTCATACTGTAGACAATTTATTTCCTTTAATGATCCCTCACTAATCTCTCTTAAGTGAGAGAAACTTCTTAAAACAGGGATAGAGATGCTTTCTCCTTGAGTTATGTGGCAACTGTTTCTACTGTGACGCTAAGGAATGCAGGACTTTGAAAGAATCCAGAGATATTTTAAAATTATACAAATAATGGGGGATTCATTATTAATGTTCATTAATGTACATTCTAAACTTTGGTAAAAAAATAGTATATGGGTGTATGAAATTCTCAAAAGACATTTTTTTAAGGTAGACTAAGAGGTTTTAAAGGCTGTGAAGATTCTTTGTAGACAATGCTACTCACCAAATTATTCACAATCATCTCTGACTGGGTCCTTTTCCTGCATAGCGATGGAGACAAAGAATGTCTTCATGTAAAACTATAACTATCTTCCTACAGAAACCCACTGAGCACACACACTTGCTGTGCATTCTCTCAGAAGTGAAGAGATTTTAATGTGGGTTAGGGAGACTAAATTAACAGGAGGAAGGGGAGGGTGCAAAGGGGAAACAGATGAAGTGCGGGAGGAAGAGGGAGAATAGAGTGAACATATAGAAAGCTTGACTTTACTGGGTTACTACTTCAGTGGTGTATCCTGGTTTTAGCTATCAACTGAAGGAATCTGATTAAACAGTTGCCCCAGGATAAAATCCCAAACATGCTGACTAATTGATTTAATGTAGACACGAAGGAAGTACATACATGTGAGCTTGGAGAACAATAAGGTGATGTGGCCACAGAGAAGTGAGAGCTACAGAGTCTGGAAGAATCAATGGGTAAAGTCCTCCTTTAAAACTTCTTTAGAGCCTCAACATTCGCATCCTGAGTTTGACTCATTGAAACTGATGTTACGATCCTTTCTTTAGAACTATTATACCCCCTTCATATAAAGTACAGATGTTGGTGATTTGTTACCAGAGTCCCTGGAACAACTAATACAAATTTGACTCAGAGAACAAAATAGGTGAAAGCTTCTCTGATATAATCCATTTGGTCAATTCCCAGAGTTATGTAAAATGAAATGGAAGATGTTTATAATTTAGGGAGAAAGAGCATTGATTCCATTAGTGTATCATGAAGCTCATGATGGCCATGCAATACATATTCATAACTGTTGTCCCTAGATTATCTCAATCCCTGCTAATTTGCATGATTCCAGAGCACACCCCACTGCATGAGTAATTATTAAATAAACTGGACACAATCTGTGCAGGTTTCAGTTACAATCAAGGCAGAGCATGGGTATAATGGGTATATGGCTTTGCATTCAATTACAAGCGTTGCTGATGCTATGGTCTAGGTGAGAAAGGGTAACTCTGAGGAATTATCCAATCATAGTGGTCATTGCTGGTTGGTCTTTCATAGGAAAATCCTATAATAATATTATTTATTGTGTATGTAATTCTACAACCAAACAAGTCAGTAAAATGTGCTTGTACCCTGAAATATCTCAATAGTTAAAGTAGGAGTATGGCCTTCATTCCTACCTCAGGTTGAAAAACCTGGATCCACTTCATAAGGAGAGGAGGTCATTTTATTTTAAAAGCCAGTAAATATTTTTCTCCATGCCAGAAAGCTGGCATCAATATATGTTATTTTGCTGACAGCCTATCAGCTGATAATATAAGGGTGTGTACCTGTACTGTTTAGGTGTTCTGG